CCCTTCCTGTCTACCCCTTTCATTCTCATCCATTCTATTCCCCAATCGCATACCCACAGCAAAGCTAACCGCCACCCCCAGAACAACCTCTGGACCCTAACGACCACCCCCGCCTCACCCACCCCGATCAAAACCGCCCGGACGATCCTCAGCACCGGCGCGCACCCGCGCACCCCCACCACCCACCAAAAATACAACCCCAACCTCCACCAACTAGACCTAGACACCTGCATGCGCCGCTCGCTCCTCCCGTCCCTCCTGCCCCGCAACCAACCCTCCACCATCGCCGTAATCGGCAACTCCCACTCCGGCATCCTCGTCGTGCGCAACCTCTACGAGCTCGCGCAGTCGAGCCCCGCCCACCGCGCCATCACAATCCTCAACCTCCACCGCCGCCCCATCAAATACGCCATCTACACCGACAACGGCATCATCTTCGACAACACCGGCCTGAAAGGCGCGACGGCGGAATGGGCCCGCGAGGTGTTGGAGCGGTCCCCGGATCCGGAGATCGTGCGGTTCGTCGACGATGGCGAGGACGAGGAGGCCGCGTTCCGGGAGTGGTTGCCGCGGTGTACGCATGTGGTGTGGGCGGTGGGGTATGAGCGCGGCCCGATTCCGAGGGTGTATGTGGAGGGAGGCAGGGTGGATGGGAGTCTGGAGTTTGATATGCGGTCGTCGGGGTTTCGGGTCCCGGCGTGGGAAGAGAGTCCCGAGGTGACAGGGCTGTATGGCACGGGGATCGCGTTTCCGGAGGAGGTCGAGGATCCGGAGGGCCATGTGGAGGCGGCGGTGGGCGTGGCGAAATTCGTGGCGTTTACGCAGAGGGTCAAGGGGCGGTGGATGGGGAGGGTTTAGTGGAGATGTGTGAGTGGGGGTGTGTAAGAGAATGCACTTGTTGTTTTGGGATCATAGTTGGTCAAACACATCAAACTACTCGATAGAAAATGCGGAGTACAATCAGTCAAATAGTAGTTGCCACATTTAGTGATCACTATATGACCACGCCAAGATGACATATTGCATCAGTGAAAGGTGAAAGATACAGAGTCTACCCAGTCTTTCGCATCGCCAAGAGACCCAATCTAAACCGATCTAGATCTCGAGGTTACCTCTATTTGTGGAACAGACTAACATACGCCAAGCATCCCACCCCGATGGCCCAGACCACCGCCCGGCGGGCGTACTCGGTCGCGGATCTGCAAGATGTCATAACCTTATTGTTTTGCCATCCGCCCATCGCCAAGACCCGAGCACGCATCACTCGAAACCATATATCTGCCCAAATCACCTCACTAGATGACAATTCCCATGGCTTAAGAGAGGTGCAGCCCTGGGCTGGCCAGGAGGCTGTGTAGACCGATGATGATGATGATGATGATGCCCGCATACTAGAATGGAATCTAGACCCCCAGTCTCACATGAAGCTGTTCTTCACAGCATGCTGCCAGATCTATAAAAAGCCCCCTAACCCACGCCAAAACAACGACACCCGAACAGATATCAGCACACAATTCCACAACACATATACACTCCACTCCTACCCCAGCACAAGTCACTTTCTTCCTTGCGTCATGAGATCCCCAATCTCCGCCATCGTCCTCCTCCCGCTCGCCCTGAACGCCGCAACCGCCGCCCCGGCGGAAGACAGCAGCAGCCTCACGGCCCGCGGCAGTGGTGGAGGCAAGGAAGCCAACCCCAACCCTTGCCAGGTCCGCGTGTCCTACCCCTACTACAAGTTCCCTTGCGCGTCGAGCCCGGAGAACGGCACGTCCATTCTCGGGGCGACGTTTACTTCGTTCTGTTACTATGAGTATGCTCCCTTCCCCTCCTTCTACGTCTATTGAGGTTTAGGGTGAGGTGGTTGGATTGCGATTGCTGATGATTGAATTCGGGGTAGGAACGGCGAGGAGTCCGGCAAGTGGTTCAAGACGCCCCGGGGATGGGTTAAGGATGAGGATAAGCCCAGGCGGTGCGGTATGTTCTTCATCTTTTCTGGTTTGGGTTGATGGGATGAGAGAGGGAGGAGAGGTGGATGGGACTGGACTGGACTGGATTAATTGGGCTGGGCTAACGGTTCGTGCTTAGATGGATCGACTGTTGAGTGCGTGATCTAGGGCTTCGATATTCAGTGGAGGGTTTGTGGTCACGCTATGAAGGTCGGGGAGGGTTTCTGGATGATTTTTAAATATACGAGCCGAAGTAACCACTCTTTATACCGGCTGGGGAGGCTGGCGATTATCTTGTTGTGTTTCTATTCAATTGGTGTGGACGATAGTGCTTAATCATATCGTGCTCCGGCGAGAAACTCGGGAGGAAAAGTGAGGCCCTAAGTATTTGCGAATTGGAATTCTCTTGGGAAAATATTTTGTACCTATCGCCACTGGATCTAATGTCGCTCCTTATCATAAAGGATATGGTGTTATCTTAAGGAAAGAAATGACGATCAAACATAAGCTCAGACTACCACCGCACACACCCACAACACAACCCTCCATTCTCCCCCAAACCACTCTAGATGCAGGCATCCAAAAAGACCTAATAAGCATACAACACCCGCTCATCCCCGCCCGGCACCCTCCCCTCGCGGATCGCGCGATTCGTCCGCCGCAGCCACACTCGCAACCCCCACGCGCTCGCAATCGTGAGCACCCCGAACGCCGCATTCGCCGACATGGCCACCAGATACCGCGGCCCGTCGCTCTTCGGATACAGATACGCCGTGTAGACATAAGACGCATTGGCCACGACATTGACCACGGACAGCGAGGCCGCCTTCTTCTGCGGGGTCTGGCCCAGCGTCGCCGACACCCACCCCAGGATCACCGAGTTGACCGCGTACGCGCCGCTCGCGAACAGAAAGCAGGCCAGATACCGCGCGGCCGTGTTGAGCGTCACACACGCGATCACGAACCCGATCACCGCGAGCCCCATGCTCCCCGTGATGTGCCAGGTGCGCTCGTTGTAGCGGCCCGAGGTCATCCCGATGATGACACTGCATACGCCGGAGACGAGGTAGGGCGGGCAGGTCAGCACGAGGGTCATCGTGCGGTCGAAGCCCAGGCTGCCGACCACCGTGGGGAAGAAGTTGTTGAAGCTGCATGCGCTGAGGTGCATGTTCTGCATGAACGCCAGGAGATAGAGGCGGGGGTCGCGGAGGGCGTCGCGGAGGGCCGTCCAGGTGCGGCTGGTTTCGGGCCCGGGGGCGGCGTGGGCGACGGTGTCGCGCGTGATGCGGTCGTGGGCGAGTTGGCGCTCGGCCGGGGTGAGCCACCGCGTGGTGAGGGGGTGGTCGGGGAGCATGAGGAGGCCCAGGGCCGCGATGAAGAAGGTGACCACCCCTTCGATGATGAACAGCCATTGCCAGCCCTTCAGGTGGTGTTTCTGATCGAGAGTGGCGAAGGTCGCGGCCGCGATGAGTCCCGCTACCGCGGTCGCCACGATGTTCCCCGTGTACAGGATGGAGATGCGCAGGGCGATCTCCTTGCGCGTGTAGAACAGTGACAGCAGGAAGAGCGCCCCGGGGTAGAAAGGGGCCTCCGTCACGCCGAGGAAGAACCGGACCAGGACCAGCGAGACGTAGTTCTTGGTGAGGGCTGTGAGGGCGGAGACGATCGCCCAGCTGGCCATGCAGACGCTCATGAAGAGCGAGGGGCGGATCTTCGGGGAGGACATGAACATGTTCGAGGGGATCTGCATGAGCAGGTAGCTGGCTGTGGTCAGTGGGAGCGTGCTGTGGGCGTGGGATATGCTTCACCTACCCGATGAACAGGATCGAGATGCAGGTGTTGTATTGCGTCCCGACCAGGTGGAGGTCTTCCTCGAGGTTGTTGAGACGCGCGTTGGCAATGGCATTGCGGTCCAGCTAGAGGATCGGTTAATGAAGACCATCCTGGCACTGGGGTCGATCACCAACATAATTGAGAAAATACATCATCCACAGAATGGGCATGATTCGCAGGTCCAACTTGCGGACGAGACGGATTTCCACCTCATTGGTCTTGGCCGTGGCTCCCGAGTAATCGCCCCCCTTTACATCGAGCAGTTCAGAGGACTTGATATCTTCCACGTGCACGTTGCTGGTCTTCTGCGCCTGGAGGGCGAGATCGGTCTTCTCTGAGGTTTGCGCGGCCATCGCTATCTTTCCAGGAGTGGGTTGGTTCTGATTGAGGAGGTCAAGGAGAGCAGTGCATTGCAGTAGTAGACCTGCAAGGCCTGACTACCGATTTATACCCATGCCTTGCGCATCTCCACCGGTGAAGAAAACACCGTAGACAATCTCAGGGTCGACGAAGTACCCGTCAACATGGGTGTATCCGCCGTCGAATTGTCGCAGCTGTCACCCCAGATTTCCCCCGCAATCCCCGCAGAAACGCGGGGAGGCCCAGAAATCCGGGGGAGACTTAGTCCGGGTATACGCCACGTGCCGGGACATCCTCTGGCATGCAAGGCAATACGAGACGGTGAGCCTTGGCATGGCTTGGATGCTTGGCTGGCACGGGGGTTGAAAACCTTCTTTTCGATGCTGGGCCAGTGCTATTCGTGGATTACATTTGCCTGAACTGGACAACGAGCTGCTATTCCAATGTAAATATGTGAATATCAGCACGGAATTGGCACAAGGTTATGCTTGAGGCCTTGATTTGTGAGATATAGATTTGTATCAGGGTATTTTGTAAAAACCAAAGTTAGACATGGAAAGATCAATAGCTCTAAGCTTGTCCAACAACGGCGATCCACGATGGAGTGATCAAAATGCCGGTTTTGAGGCTGTATGCTCCAATCCTCTCGAGAAGTCAGCTAGCTAGCGCGGTCAGATGTCGAACCGAGCCCTGATGGCACCACCGGATTCCAGGTCTGAACACAGACTTGGCGTCGGCGGAGATGTTATCCTCCGGGTGGCGCAATAAACTATGGTCGAAGAACACCAAAAGCAAAACGAACTTGAGGGTTGATTGCCAGCCGGGTAACTGAACGTGGATACATGTTACCGAGTTTGTGATGCCATTGCGCACTACGAAATCTTGCCTCATGCTTGCTAGGTTAGTGCTCGTATAATGTGCAAGAGTTGCCACTCCACCTAGCCACGAAGTGCTACGAGTTGTACCGGATACACAAGACGAGGCTTCGGATACCATAGCGGCGGATGCAGCTTGTTTGATGCGGCCAGATTCAGGTGGCAACCTTGACCTGGCCAGTTGACCTGAGTGCAGTAGAAGGATGCAGCTTAGCATACAACAATTCTCTCATTGTCCTAGACAGTTTACTCGAGGACTCTAGCAGCTCCTTATATAATACATTGCTTCGCCGAATAACCACCCATTACCACAAGAATCTCACCAAAATGCCTGCAATACTACCATTGCCATGCCTATCGCCAGTGGACTAGTAAGCGAGAGGCCGGCAGGCGCAGAATTCTCGCTGCTGCTAGACGAGGCCGCAGCTTTATCGGCAATTTCAGCGCCCGTAGAGCCCGTAGTCGTAGCTACAGTTCCAGTGCGCGAAGCAGATGACGAAAGCGCGGACGATGAAGATGACGCCTTGGGACACACGTTGTTGTACACGTACTGCTCCGGATCACCGCTGCAAGTAGTCGCAGACCCGGCGTCGTAGGTCCCGTTCGGGTAGATCCAGCAGTTGCCCGCGGCATAGGTCGAGTTGTCCGCATTCTCCGGGTTGAAGACAACGTAGCTGCAGGAATCGGCCTCGGCACATAGACTCAAGCAGTGCGGTGCACCGGTACTGGTCACACAGTCGTCAAAGCAGTCGCTGGGCGCCGGGTACCCGCAGCCCGAGGCGACAGCGGTGGGACTCGCGGTGGCGGCGCAGGCGCCAGCCGTGGTGGTGGTTGCGCTCCCGCCCGAACACACGGGCTCGTCGTAGACAGACAGGTAGGGACTGCTGCAATCGGAACTGCCTTCGCTCGCGTTGTAGGATTGCCCCGGGTACAGCCAGCACGTGCCGGTTCCGGTGGTAGGGTTGCCAGCGGCGAAGATCACAAAGCTGCACGGAGGGTGGGCGTTGCAGTAATCCCAGCAGTTGGCCGTGCTCTCGCTGGCGACGGCAAAGTCGTCGCCGGGCTCCGGGTAGCTGCAGAGTGTCGTGATGAGGGAAGCTGTACAGCTTGCGGCGGGGGTAGTGGAGGTGGGGGACGTAGAGGTAGTGGATGTAGCAGTAGCCGCTAGAGCCCGTGGTACCATTAGGGCGGTAGCGACCCAGCAGTAAATAGCTTTCATATTTTGCTCGTTGCAGGCGAGGTCTGTGAGTATGGTTGGGAAGTGGATGTGCTCAAAAGTAGGAGGAATGGTTAGTATTTAAAATTTAAGTAGGAGCGTTGACTAGCTACTACTAGCTAGGCAGGTAGAAAGGGGTAACAAGCTGTGTTAACCAACCATCAAACAGACTAGCAGGAACAAGCCCTGGGCGTAGTAGATGAACGGTGGAGAAATCTTACATGCTACTGGGCACTTGAAGCCTCAAAGGACAATGTCGGTTCTATTGCAACAACTGATTGGAGGGATGGAAAGAAGCAGGGCCGACTCGGCAAAAGTGGAGTCGGGGATCGGGGCTGAGCGATGCCCCCGATCAGGCCAAGGGTTCCCTAATATGTGATAGCGTTGCGCCAAGCAGGGCCGGTGTTGAATAGCCCCCTGCATCAACCTTGGAGGATACGGAATGCCCAATGATGTTTGAGAATCTGTATTTGTCTGTGGGGGCTGTTCTGTGTGCCCTTCCGCTGTGCGCCCTGAGTCTGTTCACGTGTCATTTGTGAACGTAAATGAGCTAGAGTGTATATACAAGTCCAGCTGTGGATTACTGACTAGGAGCTGTGATGTGTGCATGGATACTTACTGGGCTACATATTTATGATTATAAAAGTGCTCTCTGGTTATAGCGCCAATTTTGGTGGGTTTTTTTGGTTCTTCTATTTTTTTTTTCTTCAAGGCTTGACAGTTTTCAATGGAAGCTAGTATTTGGCTATTAAACATTATAACATTTAACAACAGCAGACGTAAATTAGTATAAAGTTTAGGGCTAACACCTCCCTTCACTGACTTCTCAGGCAACCTGACTTTTATAGTAAGTACTGCTTGGGATGAGACCGAGTTATTTTCCG